AAATGGCTTTAGAATTTTAATATCATTTTAGCAATCTTTTTGATATTTTTTTTTCATTTTTTCAGGGGTTTTCATGATGCTGTTAACGGATTTGTCGATGACGGTTGGTCGGTAATGGGCAGTGATGGAGTTGAAGATGTGACCATTGCCATTAACTCTTCTCCGAGCAAATTTCTCGGCTCACAATATAATAATTTGTCTATGCTCCCAACTTTTGGTGGAGTTTTATGCGCACGAGCATCAATGCTTCTTCAGGTTTTTTCACTTTACATGAAGTTTTTTTAGCCTATGTTAATTATTTTAAATGCTATTTCTTTTTTTTTGAAAAATTGAGAATTTGTTTTCTGCAGAACGTGCCCCCGGCTTTACTCGTTCGGTTTTTGAGGGAGCACCGTTCTGAATGGGCCGATTATGGGGTTGATGTGTACTCGGCTGCCTCTCTTAAAGCTAGTCCTTATGCTGTTCCTTGTACTAAACCCGGAGGATTCCCAAGCAGCCAGGTCATATTACCCCTTGCGCAAACTGTCGAGCATGAAGAGGTGAACTTTCTGCTTTCTTAGTAGTACTTAGGCATGTAAACGAGTTCGTTATATAAATGAGCCGAGTTCGAGCCTCAACAAGCCGATCTCGAGCTTTACCGAGCCGCACTATAGAATATTATACAAAAATTCTCTTTTTGAGCCTTATCGAACCGAACTCGAGCTGAGCCGAGCAAGGCTTATTTAATTTAACAGCACTAGTAGTACTACACAAATCTTTGTAGATATGATTGTATTAACTTTTTACTTATAGAGTCATTTATTTATTTAAACTTTTTATGGAATTTTTTTAAATGTAGTTCTTGGAAGTTGTTCGTTTGGAGGGGCATGCATTCTCCCCGGAAGACATTGCTATGTCGAGAGATATGTACTTATTGCAGGTTTGGTCCACAAGAAATGGATTCATTATTATTTTTTCCGTTTTTATGTGCATATGTTTTTTCTTTATTCTTTTTTTTTTTTGTGGCATTTTAACTCGTTGATTTGTGAAATGCAGTTATGTAGTGGGATCGATGAAACAAATTCCGGTGCTTGTGCTCAGCTCGTTTTCGCACCAATTGATGAATCTTTTGGTGACGATGCCCCTTTATTGCCGTCCGGTTTTCGCGTTATTCCATTGGAACCTAAATCAGTTGGGTTACTTTGTTATGAGTAATCCCTTCTTTTAATATATTTTATCTTGGATTTGAAATTTTATTCAAAAATTTTAAAAATTTGTAATGCAGGAAATTCCCACAACCAGTCGAACATTGGATTTGGCTTCTTCCCTCGATTTAGGGCACGGTGGAGCTCGTCCACCTGGCGAACCCGATTCAACCAATCAGAATGTTAGGTCCGTTTTGACTATTGCATTTCAGTTCACTTTTGAGAATCATTACCGGGATAGTGTGGCAGCTATGGCCCGTCAGTATGTACGGAGCATTGTGGGCTCGGTCCAAAGAGTAGCCATGGCCATAGCCCCATCTCCATTGGGCTCCAATTTGGTGCCAAAGCCCGTTCCCGGTTCGCCTGAGGCAGTCATATTGGCACGTTGGATTTGCAGGAGCTATAAGTACGTATTCTTGCTTCTTTTTTTCCGCATATTAACAAAATTTTGCAACTTTTTTTTTTTGGCTAAATAAAGGAAAAAAATGGAGATTTAGATAGAAGATTGAGAAAATAGTCCGATGGTTGAGTTAATTTTTACAAAATACAAAATACCATGTAACTGTGAAAAAAAAAATGACTTTTGGTCCTTCCACTAGCAAAAGCCGGGCAATTTGAATTTGTTAGTCGACTGCCACATGTAAAAAAATTGAAAAATAATATCCACATCAGCAAATGAGCAACTAGGGACCGACTTTTGCCGTTGGAAGGACCAAAAGTCAGGTTTTTTTGCAGTTTGTAAAGTCAACTTGATCGATCACCAGACTATTTTTTTTAATTAGGTGTTAGTTATATGACCAAATCTCAAATTTTTTTCCTACTAAATAAACTAGGCATTTTGTGTAATAATCTCCTTTTTTATTTTATTTTATTTTATTTTATTCTATTTTTTTACAATTTTTATATTACAACAGCATGCACACTGGAGCCGAACTCTTTCAGGCTAATTCACCGGAAGGCGACGATGTTTTGAAGCAACTTTGGCACCACTCGGATGCTATCATGTGCTGCTCGGTCAAAATGAACGTTAGTCATTATTTAAATTTTATTTACATTTATATAATCCATTATTTGTGTCCATTTTGTATCATTATTCGGCTCGATTATTCATTTGTCAAATATCTTACTTCTAGCTAAAAACAACATTTTTTCTTACAAACCAGGCATCGGCTGTATTTACATTCGCAAACCAAGCTGGCCTTGACATGCTCGAGACAACCCTAGTTGCCCTGCAAGACATAATGCTCGAGAAAATACTCGATGAAGCTGGCCGGAAAATTCTCCTCTCAGAGTTCTCGAAAATCATGCAACAGGTTTGTAATTAACTAGTCGAACAAATTTTGCGCTTTTTTTCGTTGATTTCTTATATTGACCTTTTTTTTACCGTCTTTATTGAT